TAGAACAGGTTGCCCAGAGAGGTGGTGGATGCCCCATCCCTGGAAACATTCAGGGTCAGGTTGGATGGGGCTCTGAGCAACCTGGTTTAGTTGAAGATGTCCCTGCCCACGGCAGGGGGGTTGGACTAGATGACCTTTAGAGGTCCCTTCCAACCCAAACTATTCTATGATTCTATGATATAGGCTTCCAAATCTAATCTAAAACCCCTGTTGTGGAACAATAGATGTTCTTCATATCTTTTAATGTGTTGCAGACATGGTTCCAAATTGTATAGCTTGTATAAATTTAATCTTTGATATACATCTATCACAGTCTTGTAAATGCAAGTCAAAACCCCCCTGCAAAGCTCTTCATTGTTCTTGGACTGGTTTTGGAGAAAATCTCCCACAGTATCCATTTTTTCTATTGTTTTCTTCCCAGATATAGAATTTCAGGTTCTTTTAACTGTGGCCTCAGACATCTGAAAGACAAGGCTTATAAATCAAAACCTTAAAGGAAACATCATATTAATTGTATTTACTTTCCATTTGGGTGATTTAAGTTATCTACTGAAGTAATTATTTCTATAGCATTGCATGATAATTACAATATAACTATCCAGACCTCTAACATTGTCACTTGGTGCATGGGATTACTACAGTTATAACTTACATTCTGACAATGCAGAGGCAGCACCTAACAGGGAAGATAATACATTGCTGCCCCTCTGGAATGTTGTTCACCATTGGAAATGCAATACTGGGGAAAAAAATTGCAAACACCATTTCACTTTCAATTTTAACACTTTGGGTTTTTACGTGTGGCTTGTTCTTTGTCTTGAGTGCAATTCGTATTGAAAATATGGTCCTGTCTTGTACTTAGGCAAAAGTTAATATTAAGTGGCAATGTTTTTCTGTACTTTTTATTTCTTTTATCAATAGGCAAAAGTTAAATAAAATGTTTTAGAAGTTCAGCCGTAGGCTACTTTGTTCTCATGCTACAGTTTCAACAGTCGTACATTCTACCTGATTCAGACAAGTGCATCATTTTCAGCGAAGGATGTCAGTGCCTAAGGGTGCCAGACACAAGCAGTTATGTATGCTCTTTGACAAAACCTATTCTCAGTCCTGTGCTGACCTGTTTGGGGTAAGCACCTCAACATAAACATTATTTCTGGTAAAACAAATCCATTAAGTTAACAAATGTGAGGTCAATCTCATTGGCAGCAAACTGTATCAGAAATCAATTCATAGCATTTTGCATGTTGTGTTCAAAGCTTTCTACCAGTACGAGCAAAGGAAACCTCATGATACCCCAGAGAGCTAAGAAAATATTATCATTTTCATCACTGATGCAAGGAAAGTGAAGTGCAGAACAGAAGTTGCTAAAGCCCATGCAGTAAATCAGACACAGAATAAGAAACTTGGACTCCTAATTCCCAGCTCTGTACTAAGCCTTCCAGATCACACTGGCTTAACACGGATGGAATTTAGCAGTACCTGCTATTCCTCAGAGAAATATAAAAGACTATGCCCCTTGCTACTCAGGGAGTAGCAGTATTCAGGAAAGCCAATGTACTGAAAGTAGCTATGAATTCCTTTGAATTCGAATCTATGAGGGCAAGAGGCACCTGAAAGGTGGAAAAAATAATAATTTACAAGCATAGAAATGCAGTATAATTTGTTACTTCAGATTTCTCTGTTTATGTTTGTGTGTTTCCCCTTTTGACCTCATCTGTTCTTTGCAGCATAGACCATTTTCCATTCTTTGTATGGCACATAGCACAAGAGCATCTTAATTAGCATGTTTACATACT